TACGACACACACACACACACACACACACACACACACACACACACACACACACACACACACCACATGCATTTCGTTATCAATCCTTAAATTTTCTAATTATGATTATTACACAGAATTTACTATCGTCTTAAGAATGAGAAATGAGAAATTAAAAAATAAGATTGTAATAGAAATGGCTGTCTCTTTTTAAGCTTTTTTAAGCTCGCGCGCGAGATTCTTTCTCGAAAAGAAAATAATCTTTGGTTTATTTTGGAAACAGGAAAATCCTAATGTTTTATTGAATTTCTTTTCTACATGACTTTTGCAGTTTCGACGATGTCTACTAATTGTCCAAGTTACGTAACGAATGGTTATATAGCCATACGATCTTTTGATAACAAGACACCTAATCCTCTTTGCTCACTGTGCCAATTTCTGTCTAGATATGCCTTAAATAACAAATCTCGGACACAATACTAGAAAGAAAGAATAGTAATAGAGGAACGGGACTGGAATCACGCTGTGGAATCGAGTCACCGGTCGACTCGTAGCATGTAATTGAAAAGCGGAGACGGCAACCCTAAATTACGAAGGGCAAATTAAGCCCCTTGGTGTTAATGAACCTGGACGTTGACGACAACGACGGGACGACGACGAGACTGATGATGACAACGACAACGTCTACATTTGCGTTTACATTGCATCTGCATTTCGCAAAATTTATCTTAATTAAATGCGTTTACATTGCATCTGCATTTCGTAAAATTTATCTTAATTAAATGCTGATCCGGTACTAATAAAGAAATTCTTCGAATGTTAAATTAAGTTTATTTAGATAGTCAAATAATTAATAACAGAAATTTTGAAATATTAAGAATAATAAATTGAAAAAATTATTATTGTTTCATTAAGAAACTTTTATTAAGAAACTTTTATTAAAAAAGAATTTATGTTAAAAAAAATAAGAGTTAAGAGTAAAGCGAAATAGTATTTCTTTTTATACATCAGAACAAAGAAACAAAATCGAGAAATAATACAATTGATATTTATATAATTAAAAATATATTTCTTATATTTATTACATTTAATATATTAAAAAATATGAATACTCTATGAAAATCGCAATCAAAAAAATCGTTTTTTTGTCCTTTCTGTTACTTGCATCAAATAAAAGTTACCAACCAAAGTAAGGGACAGGTAGAAATTAATTATAAAGATCCAAGCTATCGACACGTTTAATACGACTTGATAAAATTTTACGTTTCGCGAGAAATGTTATTGCGTGCGAGAGTTTCAGCTTGACCGTTGAGTTGCAAAAGTAATTTAACAAGATGATAACTTTCTCGGGCCTCAGAATGCGTGCTCTAACGCGAATTGACGGACAGAGAATCTTAGACCGAACGACCGGATGTTGGCACGACAAGCAACTCTTGCACAAAGTAGCTTTCTTCACTTGCTGCCGGAACTTACCTTCTCATGAATCACCCTGTGATAAATGGCGAGACAAAGTTAATAAAAGAGTGCTTTCGAATCGAATAAACTCCTGAGAATAAGAGGAGAAGCCAGAAAGAAAAAAATTATTCGAAACACAAAACAGTTAGGAATGCGTAAATTTTTGTTCGTTAATTGTCTGCTTTTCTCCCTGATTTTGTCATTATACTTTATAGTTAGAATTTTGTCCATTTGCCTCAAAATCTTTTCTTTAACGTTATTCTTATCACAGCATAAATTCCGCGTAAAAGTCCGAGATAAAAGTGTATCTTGACGCGCAAAAATATGCAGTCTAAATATAAATCATCATCAGCGATTTAATTTAAAGAACGAATGTTATGAAATTGTTATCAAAGTGAGAGAGCCAATGATATATCTAGCTCTTGTGGCAAAATCTGGTTCGCCTAATCTGTACCTAATAAATGTTTCGCCGATTTGCTATCATCTGCAAGCCTTTCGGTCTGTGTTTCAGATGAACGTTATTAATTTACATTCTTCCTGCACGATGATGCTGCTTGGTATCTTGGCGTCAACGACGATAATCGGCCTCACAAGTTCCGCTCCTTTATCGTCATACGAAAGAAGGGACGTGCCGAACGATCGTCCCAGAATTTTCCTGTTAATCGATCAAAGAGTACCAGAATTGGAGGTATGTTTTTTTCTCGATAAATAGACATATTATGGAACCGATAAATAGGGCAACGAAAAACAACTTCATTCTCATAAGGATTATATTTCTAGTACTAGTATTCTAGTACAAGTATTTCTAGTACTAATATTTCTAATATTTTCTTACATTATATTATATATAAAAGATTAAGAAGTATTAGTCTTATATCACGGATAAAAAGTTTTCATTACCTTTTTTCCTTTAAAAAAAATTAACGAAGGTCTAGATTAAGTGCTAGAAGTGTCGTAATTATTAAAGGTAACAAACTTTCTAAATTATCATCCCAACACTTTTATTAAAACAAAACTAATTTCAAATTTGCCAAGAAAAAATAAATGAAGTGCAAAGCGCATAATAATTCATATGTATGTATTCATCCATCTTTCACTTTTCTATAGCTATAGATAAAAATTAAATTATAAATATAGAAATATTTTCCAAAACTTAAAAAATATGATGCGGATTAACGTATCATTTAATGAAGAAGAGAAAGATGCGTCGTGAGATGAGGCAAACGTCATCAATAATCTGTCGATAAATGCCTTCTGAACGCCTTCGAAACGCCTGAAATGCCGCGTGCCGCGGAAATCGCATTCGTCGCGAAACAGAACGAATGCGCTCCAAGTGCGAATGCCATTGTATCGTCGGAGAAACACACGCCGACACGTGTCTCGTCGGATCGTTTAGTTTACAAGCGCTTTGCATTTTGAATAGTTAACGTGTATTGCGATCGAGCGGTCGCGCGGATAACGCACACTTACGCGCGGCGAGATGCGGCGGTGGAAACGCACGAGGAAACGCGCTCCGGTTTCGTATTGGAAAATGACAGAAAATGACGTAAGCGTACATACGTTGTATACGTATATGCGAGTGAATCAGGAGCGCGCGAATCATGAATGGAGACGTCTTTCCTTCGGTTTCCGCGCACATGGGAGATCCCACGTCGCGTTACAGAGGATTTACGTTCCTCCTTATTTCCCGTGACGTCCGTGCAGCTGCCCACCATTTTACGGATGGATTTCGATACACGGGGATCTAAAGTGTATGTGCTTTAGCGTAGCTTTATTCGCGATTTTCCCCGCGCGTTAGATTCCCTTTTTGCTATGTATTTTGATGAAAGTTTTGCTTATTTTAGTTTCCACATTTCTCGGGACATTGTTCTTAATATTGGATAATTTAAAAAATTCGAAATAAATTTCTCTTCTGTCAGAAAGATTTTTATTCGCAATATTACATCTGTTGCTCCTCTGAGACCATTTTTTTTAAAAATTACCTGCAACATAGGGTTTGTTTCTTATCGCTGCTCTCTCTGGATTGCATTAAAACTTTCTTTCTTGTTTTCTTCTAAAATGTAGCCATTTTATTTTAAATATGACAAGTGTACATTAACTCAGTTATAAAAGAAAGATTTAATGCAATTTAAAAAAAAAAAGGAACTGAAAACAAAATAAAAGAAAGAGCTGTTATTCATGAATAACTCTTCTTCATATATTTGAGTTATTTTTGCATATGAATTTCTTTCTATTTATCTTTATCGCATATAAATTTCTTCTTATTTATTTTTTAAGTCCAATATTTCGAGAGAAAACGATGATTTTTTTAACTTTTAAACTCGCTGTACCTTTTAATCAATTTTGGAATTTTCTTAAGGACGACTTTGTGAACAAACATGACTTCCTTTGACAAAATGATTAGTTTGAAGTTTTCGTGTAAATATTGTAAACGCGATAGTTAAATGTTACGAAGAAGCTTGCATTTCAAAATTTGTTACTCGTTCCAGAATACGCTAAATATTATTACGAAAGCAGCAATATTACATGTTCCGGTAGGGCATTATTTACGTGCGCTCATTACTCTCCCTCTTCGTCCAATTCTGTAAATGCATATCTTCGAATTCGCTGCATTGTACGAGACAAGTTGAAAGCTGTCTTGCGAACTTCACTCCAGAAATTGCACTTTCGAGCTGCCATTAACATATGTCACAATCCACGAATTTGCGACAATCGACTTTCGCGTAATATATAAAAAAAGGGCAAGCTCGTTTTGCGAGAATGCGCAATAAAATATATGACCGGAATATCGCTGTATATGAGCTGAAGAAAGCGTAAAGCGCGACATAAAAGCGCGATGTAAAAGTGCAATAAAGTAAAAGTACCCACAATGTCATACTCGGGAAGACGTCATACAGTAAATTGTAACTACCTGAAAGCACGTAAATTTCGAATTGCTTTTAATACTTACATATTTACGAAGAAATTATCTCACTTGAATCCATTATTAGTAGAGAATTTTAATTTATTACATTCAAGCAATTATCAAGATATTTAATGTTGGATATTATTATAGTTAAACACTTTCATGATCTTCTTAACTTAATTTCAAACTATTTGCACACGTGTATATTTTCAAAAATACTTGAGTTATTAGCATATATGCATATAAAGTTTTTGATTTTTGTTATAAGCGTCTAATGACTTTTTACAAGCACGCTTTTTCAACGTTTATATAAAATAAAATTTTATATAAACTCTCGGAGAAAAAGGCAGATTTGAAAAGGCAGGTTTAAAATATATACATAGTCTATCCATAAATGTTGCTAGTAAAACTTTAAATAACATACGGTTAGATAAGATTAGAAAGCTTGTCGTCGTTGTTAGCTAGCTATAATAATATAATGGAACAGCTGACAATGTTTTGTCATGAATACTTGATGCAACAATAGAATATATCACATATTCATAAAGATCCCTTTAATCTAATCACACACACACACACACACACACACACACACACACACACACACACACCACCACACTA